TTTAGTTAAACCAAGTTTTAGTTAAACTACAATATATAAACGTTAAAAGTTAAACATAGTAATAAGTAGTTAAATAGAAATTCGAAAATTCGTTTGCTTTTAGTTAAACTTTCTATATGAGAGTTTAGTTAAACCAAGTTTAAGTCATATTAAGATATAGAAACCTAAAAAGTTAACCCAAGTAATAAATAATTAAATAGCAATTTAAAAATTATTTTAGATTTAGTTAAACTTGTTTTATGAGAGTTTAGTTAAACTAAGATTTAGTAAAATAACGACATATTAATGGAAAAAAGTTAACCATTAAGAGCGGGGTTTTGAGTTGGCAATCAAATGCCAATTAATAATCAGATTAATTAATCTAAACATAAATTTAATCTGATGTTAATCCCCTTTAGGGCGGGTTTCTTACTACTCAGTTAAACTAGGCTTAATTTGCTGTTAGATTAAACTCGGAACAAATTTAGACGGACGTTAACCGATGATTGTGTTTTTCATTTATGGATTTAAGTTCATTTAACTTTGTTAGTATTGCCAACTTTTTACTCAAAAACATAAACAATGAACAGCTGTTTTTTGCAAATAATACTTTTGTAAAATGAAAAATTTTGGAAAAATGTCAAATAAACATTTAAACAGAAAATTGCAATTTACTTAAAATATTAAGTTTTTGTTCTTCCGAAATCATTGTTTTATTGTTTTTGTTCATTGTGTCTTCTCACTTATAACTTAAGTTTAATTGGCCAATAACACTCAGTTAAACTAAGATAATAAGTAACGTTACTGTTTACTGAAAAACACAAAACATATATTAAACTAGGTTTAAACAAAGAATGTAGATTATCTTTATCTGAAAAACCCGCCCGTAATGTTGTTGAGTACAAGATTAAACTTCGTAGTGTTGCCATACAAAACAATAGAAAATGTCACTGTTTGTTATCAAAACAATGAATGTTTTATAAAAAAGAAGAAGACAATTGTAAATTTTTATATGAAAATTAATGAAAACTTCAATTTAAAACCAAAAAAAAAAAATGTATTTTGAGTGTGCATAATTTATACTAATCAATAAATAGAATAATTTAATATTTATAAACAAATTGTATTAATTTTTTTGCATCAGCTGTTTATACTTTTGCATTTCATGCTTAAGTTTAAACCACCTTCATTGGCCGCTTAAACTTTCAAACAAACTTAACTAATTGAGTACTCAAAGACACCTTTGGAGGATTAATTTTAATTTAATCGCTAATCTTGCACCTAAAGATTGACCCTAAATAAGTATTTAAATAGGAATATAAAAAAGAATTTAGTTAAACTTGTTTTAGGAGAGTTTAATTAAACTAGGATTTTGAAAGTTTAGCTTATAAAACTAACATATTTCAATAGTTCTCATTTCTACTAACATTCGAAATAATTAAATTTATCTACAAATACCATCAATACTAAATTTTAGATCATTTTAGACTGTCTAAATTTAACATGGATCTAATTTTTCTTTAACAACTCTAGCAACAACAAATTAGAATGGCAAATATTTCATCGGTCGGACAAAAAAAAAAAAAAAACACAAAAACTAGCTGGCAGGCACATCTAATTAGAAAGTGTTGAAAAAAATTCAATACCATTTTTGTTGTTTGTGGTACAGCTTTACTTAAACTTATGCAACAGGAAGACAAGAAGAGCAAGAACTTAAAGAAAAAACAAAAAAGGCCAAACCAAACATTTAAAATTTATTTTGTTACATTTGTGCATGCTGAAAAGTAATAATGATGATGATGATGACGATGATGATAAAGAACCAACAGGAAAAACAAAACTTTCAACCAAAAAAATTGCAGGAAAAAAAACTCAACTGGTATGCGGTTTAATAAACCTAAAAATACTCGTACAAGAGAAGACAAACTTCTTTTTTTTTATTTTGTATGTTGCAGACTTTAATACAAGTCTTAATATAAAACTTTAAAAGAAAAGTATATAAGGTGGTAAGTAAAGAGAGAGAGAGAGCGAGGGAGAGGAGGGAAAAAGGACAGCCATAACAAAAAAAGAAGAGATTTTTTCATGAACACTTAACTGCCAGATTCTAAAAATTTACGTTCCTTAACATGTTGCTGTTGTTGTTGTTATTGTTGCTGTTGTTGTTGTGTGTGTTGCTGGCTTGGTGATGCAGCAAAAGCATCAAACGGCACGCTTGCTTGCGGTTGTATTAAAGCAATGCACAACAGCTACCTGAATTACTGAACACGCGTCTTATGTTTAGGTATGTAAGAGTATGACTTGTGTTGGTCTGTCTGTCTGTCGGTCTGTCCAACCAAAATAATAAACAACTGAAAAGAACTCAAAGACAGACTGCTTTTTTGGTTTTAACTTAACAGCTAGCATCGCATACTAACAGACGTCTGTCCGTCCCTCCTTTCAACCATGTCTGTCCCGTTTTATACTTTTTTTCTTAAGTTTTTCCTTTAGTTTTTGAAATGTTTAAACGTTCTAAAGTCTGTTTTTTTTTTTTTCGTTTATAAATTTTAGTTTTTTTTTTGATTCGTTGTATATAGTTCTTTATGTTGCTGTTCATAATGTTTTAAATGGCCTTTGCATGCATGCAACATGCAGCATCATCTTTTTTTTTTGCAAAAAATAAAAAATAAGGAACACAACAACCTCTCCAAAAAGAACCAGTATACAACTAACCAGCCAGCACCTTTTTTTGAAACCAACAGATATTCTATGTATGTTAAATACAGGTTTGTATATGATAGTGTCTCGGTGTTGTTGTTGTTGTTCTTGTATTTTGGGATACGCCAGTTTAAGCCTTTTTTTGTATTCCTTCTTTCGTTAAGTTGGTAATTCAGCTTAAAACTTCTTCTAAGTATAATTTTTGGACTTTTTTTTAAATATAATTTTATAAATAGTTTTTGCAGAATTTTTGCCAAAAAAACACAAACACAAATACATATGTATTTGCCTGCTAGTAATCACATAAAATACATAGAGAAAAAAATGTTAAGTTTAAAACCAAATTTGTTAGAAATTTTTTTTCTTTGCAAAAACGTTTAAAGCACATGTTTCTTTTCAACAGAAATCCGTGTGTGTGTGTATGTTTGGTTAGGCGAAAAAGTGTTAAATATTTGTAAGAAATAAATTTGTAATAGAAAACCAAAATTACCAATAACTATAAGAAATAAATGTCATACAATAACTAGAAATAAATAAAGGAATTTTTCTCTTATTGAATGTTTAATAAATTAACAAAAACTTTGTAAGAAACTACTTTTTATTGGTGAAAAATTTTGGGTAATAAGAAGAAAATTAATAAATATACTCAAGCAAAGTAATAGCGGACCAGAAAAACTAAATATTTTTCTATATAAAAAGATTTTAAATAAAATTCTTCAAGTTTTAGATGTTAAACTTGCAAAAACCTAGTTTAACTTAACTCTCTTTAAGTCAGTTTAACTAAATTTTAAACTTTTGTTGTAAATTTCATTAAATTTAAATACTTGCTATTAGTCTTTAATGTTAATCTGAGTTAAACTAATAATAATCTAGTTTAACTAAACTTTTCAAAAACAAGTTTAACTAAACTTTGAATTATTTTCTTATTTTTTAGGCGTTTTAAATACTTGATCTTAGTTTTATAGGTTAATTTAAGTTAAAGTCACCAAATCCTAGTTTAACTAAACGTTTTAAAAACGAGTTTAACTTAATCTTGAATTATTTTCGTTTTAAGTTTTTTAGAGTGATTTAAATTCATTGAATTTTGCTTCTTAAACTTTCACAAACCTAGTTTAACTAAACTCTCTTTAAACTAGTTTAACTAGATTTGAAACTATTTTATTAATTTTTATTACGTTTAAACAATTTATATTGATTTTCCTTGTTTAAAAGACTTAAACTAACAAAAGCCTAGTTTAACTAAACGCTCTTTAAGCAAGTTTAACTAAATTTTAAAACAGTTTAGTAGTTTTTATTAATTTTAAATAAATTTAATTAATATTTTATGTTTGTAGAACTTAAACTAACAAAAACCTAGTTTAACTAAACTCGCTTATGAAAAGATTAGCTAAACTTTTTAGGATTTTTGGCTGGAACAAGTTTAACTGAACTCTTTATTGATTTTTTTATGTTTGTGATACTTAAACTAACATAAACCTAGATTAACTAAACCCGCTTAAGTAAAGTTTAGATAAAGTTTTAGGTATTTTCGGCAGTACTGTAGGATGTTTAATGGAAACCCCTATTGGAAAAAGATTTTAAAACGATTTTTGAAAAAACTAGAACTATTCTTGTATTTTTATTAATTTTAAATAATTTCTTTATATTTTATATATTTTCAAGACTTAAACTTACAAAAACCTAGTTTAACTAAACTCGCGTATTTGACTAAACTTTTTAACAGTTTCGATTTGATTTTTTAAAGAAATATAATAACTATATTATTAGATTTAAATTCCTGACTATTTCATTAATTTACAAAAAAACTTAAGAAACAAACTTTCTTTTAGAGAGCAAGAGGAAAAACAAACATGGCTGCTATGAAAAAAAGAGCTATCAACAAAAGACTTAAGACACAAGTGTATAATTTGTTCCTGCTGGAAAAGACTTAAGTAACAAACTTTTTTTAATAGAAAGCAAAAAAACAAACATGGCTGCCATTTGTAGAGATATTAACAAAAGACTTAAGACACAAGGGTAAAACTTGCATCATCTTTACACTCTTTAAAAGACTTAAGAAATGAACTCATTTTAAAGTGAAAAGAGAAAAATCCAACATGGCTGCCATTTGCAGAGATATAAACAAAAGACTTAAGACCCATACACTATTTTCATTTAAGAACTTAAGAAACAAACTTCATTTTTGTTTTAAAAAGGTAAACAAATATGGCTGCCAATATAGAGTTATAAACAAAAGACTTAAGACACATACTCAAGTTATTTTAAAATAAAATTCTTTTGATTCTACTTTTTAAATATAAAAAATTTAAATTTTTGTTTTAACTTACCTATCAATACCGCTAAACCGAATAGTTCGGTATCGAGCATGCCTTGTGTGGCAAAATGTAGACATGTTTGTGTATACACTTCTCTGACTCGACTCTTTGCATCGACTAGGAAGTATAAAGTTTTGGGTTGTTGATTGCCTAAGAGCCTGAAAAAATAGAAAAATGAAATTTAAAAAATTTTCTTAATAAATTATAATTAAAACTAGACAATTTTACTTGTATTTATACATAAAATCCTTATTTTCTATATAAATAAAAAGGACAACTTACCTTAGAGCTAAAAATCGTGAGCCCGGTGATAGCTGTTCGGCCGAGGACGCGCATACTTCTAATGGCGCGCTGACAGTACAAAACGCTCGCATGCTGCATCATTATTTGAATGCAACAAATTCGTTGGAAATATTTTTCTAAAAAAAAAAAACAACAAGAAAATAAAATAAATTAGTTTTTTTGATAAAAAACCAAATGCCAACAAAAACCATCAATCTTTAAAACATATTTCATGATAACAAATAAGAAGCTTAACATTCCTTTTTCGTTAGAAATACAAAAAAAACTAAAGCTATCTAAAATAGTTTTACGAGCTTTAAATGTTATCAAAAAAAAGTAAAAAAAAGACTTTATATTAAAAAAATACTATAAGCTATAAAAAAATTTCACCAAAACCCAAAAAAAAAAACTTGCAACTCATATTATAACAGACAAGTTTCTAATTCAAAAAAATATGTGTCTTGATATATTGAATTATAAAATAAACCTAATAAAGAAAGTTTAGTTTATGTTTGGGGGAAAAAATATCATAGATTTATGCATAAATTAAATTTTAAAACAATATATAACATATTGAACAAAAATGCTACTGTAGCTGAACAAAAAAATAACAAAAACAAAACAGTAAAGAGACGAAAGACGCACGGTATGTCAGTATGTTTGAGCAGAGTTTATAACAGGCATGGAGTTGTGAGTTATTGAATTGGTATACTTTTTTTGTATTAAATGTATTCTATGACTTTTAGGAGTTTCTTATCTATAGATTAGTTAATACAGTAGTCTACAGATTGTTCTATAAACTAAAACATAGTCTTCATAATAGATTAGTTCATACGCAAGACTTGTCAATAGACTAGACCATAGACTAGTCCATAGTTTAGTCCATATTTTAGTCCATAGACTAGTCCATAGACTAGACCATAGACTATTCCATAGACTAGTACATAGACTGGTTCATAGACTAGTCCATAGACTACTCATAGACTAGTCCTTAGACTCGTCCATAGACTTGTCTATAGACTAGTGCATAGACTAGTCCATATAATAGTCTATATACTAGTACATAGACTAGTCCATAGACTGATCTATAGACTAGACAACAGACCAGTCCATAGACTATTAAGTGAACTAGTTAATACACTAGTCCACTGACTAACCAACAGACAGGTCCATAGATAAATCAATAGACCAGACTATAGGCTAGTCAATAAACTGATATATAGACCTGATAACAAAGCAGTCCATAGACTATTAAATGGACTAGTTAACCGTCCACTGACTAACTAATAGACAGGTCCCTAGATAAATCAATGGGCAAGTCCATAGACTATTTCAGAAACTAGTCAATAGACTAGTTCAAAGTCTATTAGTTGAACTAGTCCACTGACCAGTCAATAGACTAGTTAATATACTAGTCCACAAACTAGTCAATAATTTAGTCTACTGAATAGTCCACAGACTAGTATATAGCCTAGTTTATAGACTAAACTATAGATTATTTCCTAAACTAGTTCACAGATTTGACCATAGACTAGGCCACATAATAGACAATAAACTGATCTATAGATTAGTGAATAGACAGGCCTATAGACTTGTGAACGCACTAGTCCATAGACTAGTTAACAGACCATTGACTAACTAATACGCAGGTCTATAAACTACTCAATGAAGTAGTCCCCAGACTATTCCAGAAACTAGTTAAAAGATAAGTTCAAATACTATTAAATGAACTAGTCCACAGACCAACCTACAGACTAGCCCATTGCTTAGTCTTTAAATAGTCCGTTAGTCTATTCCACAGACTAGTCAATAGACTAGTCCATTAACTACTCCGCAGACCAGTCCACATACTAAATCACAGATTAGTTTATCAACTATACCATAGATTTATCCGTAAACTAGTCTACAGATTCGACCATAGACTACGCCACGGACTAGTCAATAGACTGATCCATACACTAGTCAACGGACTAGTCCACAGATTACTAAATAAACTTGTTCACAGTCTATTCGACTGACTAACCAACAGACTGATCGATAGACTAGTCAATGGACTAATCCACACTCTATTCCAAAAACTAGTCACTAGACTAGTAAACATCTATTCAATAGACAAGCCCACAGATTATTCGATTCAGTTAGATTCACGGACTAGTCAATAGACTGATCCATACATTAGTCAACGGACTAGTCCACAGATTAGTAAATGAACTTGTTCACTGACTCTTCGAATGACTAACCAACAGACTGATCCATAGACTAGTCAATGGACTAATCCACACTCTATTCCAAAAACTAGTCATTAGACTAGTAAATGTCTATTCAATAGACAAGGCCACAGATTATTAGATTCAGTTAGATATGTGACTGCTATGTAGACAAGTCTAGAGACTAATCTTTAGACTAGTTAGTATACTAGTCCTCAGATTGATGCATAGCTTAGTCCTCTGAATAGTTCATAGACTAGTCAACAGATTAGTAAACAGACTAGTTCATAGACTAGTCCATTAACTATACTACAGATTTGTTAGATTCGACCATGTACTAGGCACCAAACTGACCCATTGACTAGTCAACGGACTATTCCACAGACCAGTTAAAGGGTAAGTTAACAGACCAGTCAACTGACTAACTTATAGACTGGTCCATAGACTAGTCAATGGACTAGTTCACAGACTATTTCAGAAACCTGTCAACAGACTAGTAAAAGTGGGATCAATAGATTAGTTTACAAACTAGTCTATAGTTCATAATTTAGTCACAAACTAGTCCATTTACTAGTCCACAGATTAGTTCTCAGACTAAATCATAGTCTAGACCATAGACTAAACACAGACTAGTTTGCAGATTTGTCCGTAGACTAGTCCACAGGCTCGACTATATACAAGTCAATAGATTAGTTCATAGAACTAATAGACTAGTCTATAGACTAATTCAATTTCATTACAGATTAGTCAACATTTTAGTCTATGGTATATTCCACTGACTAGTCCATAGACTAATATATAGGCTTGTCCGTAGACAAATCATTAGACTAGTCTTTAGACTAGTTTGGAGACAAGTCCACAAACTAATCAGTAGTCTAATACACACACTTGTTAAAAGTCTAGTTCATATACATACATATATCGTGGGAGTCCTTTGCAATGTTAAGCTGTCGATAATAACTATTGTACTTAACTTACCATCCCTGGTTTACACCACATTAAAGCTTAACTCATATACATATGTATATATAAAAAAACATAAATAAAATTGTATAAATTTTAAAACTGATAAACAAATTTTTGTTTGGTATGACAATATTTTCTCTCTCTACCAGTTTAGTCTGCTTTTTTTTTGTTGTCAAAGAAAAAAAAAAAATTATACACACAAACACATATTTTTAAAAATATTTTATTAATATTCATGTCTAGTTTCTTTGTTTTAACATGATGGTCTTTATTTATTATTGTGTGTGTGTGTGTGTTTTTTTCTTCAAATAAAAAAACAATAAAATGTTATAAAAAATATATAAATTTATGTATAATTTTAAGTTTATTAGTTTTCCATAATCAATCAATAGCTAACAAACATAAATTATATTTAATCCCCAAGATGTTGAAAAAATCCAAAAAAATAGAAAGAATGAAACAAAAAACAGAAATAAAACTTTAAGCTTTAGATTAAATTTCAATCAGTCATTTATATTAAAAAAAAAACTCTAAAGGCTTTTTTTCAATTTTAATTTATTCATATAAATCAGACAGACGGACGGACGAACGTATTTGTTTATGAATAATTTTAAAGGCTTTTAAAAATATCCCCAAAAACAAAAAAATAATTTTAATGGTTTAACAAAAAAAACATTTGGTGGTATAGTTAAGTTATTTAAGTGTTATTATGTCTAGTAATAAAACTATGTAGAATATTTAACATATTTTTCTTAATGTTGCTTTTTCTTTTGGTATAAAATTGATTAGTCTAGGGGGGTAATTATGAATAAATTTTTATTTAAAACCTGTATGGTTTAGTTATGCGTTCATTTAATAAGTCCAAAAAAAAAGGTTTTCATTTTTTATATAGTAATAATTAAAACAAATTGTTTTTGTTGTTGTTTTTTAAATTTATTAACGTTATAATCTCTAGATTGTGTGTACTGATTAGTTCGTTAGCGAATTAATACTTAAAGGCCTGTGCATGTGTGTGTCTTTTTTTTCACTTTACAAATCTCTGTAATTAATTAAAGTGGATTATAAAAATTGTAAAATCTTGAAACATTTATCAAAAATGTTTTATGTTTTTAGTATTAATTACTTGAAAATATTTTGTTTATGTTTAAATATTGCTACTGGGATTTAAATTTGAGGTGTTGGTTATAATTACACTGGACAACGAATTTTATTTTATTTTATTGTAAATTTACATAAAATTATTGTAAATTTACAATAACTTAAAGTTTAAATTACCAATAAACGATGTAAATAAATAAATTATAAGTAAATCATAGATATAAAGGACTATAAAAGACTAGTTTATTCTATAGTATATAGCCTAGTCTATAGTCTAGTCTATAGACTATTCTATAATCTAGTCTATAGTCCAGTCTATAGTCTAGTCTATAGACTATACTATAGTCTAGTCTAGTCTATAGTCTAGTCTATAGTCCAGTACATAGTCTAGTCTATAGTCTAGTCTATAGTCTAGTCTATAGACTATTCTATAGTCTAGTCTATAGTCCAGTCTATAGTCTAGTCTATAGACTATACTATAGTCTAGTCTAGTCTATAGACTATACTATAGTCTAGTCTAGTCTAGTCTAGTCTATAGTCTAGTCTATAGTCTAGTCTATAGTCTAGTCTATAGTCTAGTCTATAGTCTAGTCTATAGTCTAGTCTACAGTCTAGTCTATAGTCTAGTCTATAGTCTAGTCTATAGTCTAGTCTATAGTCTAGTCTATAGTCTAGTCTATAGTCTAGTCTATAGTCTAGTCTATAGTCTAGTCTATAGTCTAGTCTATAGTCTAGTCTATAGTCTAGTCTATAGTCTAGTCTATAGTCTAGTCTATAGTCTAGTCTATAGTCTAGTCTATAGTCTAGTCTATAGTCTAGTCTATAGTCTAGTCTATAGTCTAGTCTATAGTCTAGTCTATAGTCTA